CAAGCGGTCCACTTCCTCCAAAATGAACCTATCCCTTAGGCGTCCGACATCTTTCTATTTATGACAATGGGAGAACTATCAGATGACAAACAGCAGGCTGCCAAAGTCAAGGTTCGGTCGTCCAATTACATTCTTGTCGATGATATTTTGTACAAGAGGGGCTTCTCACGCCCATACCTTAGATGCCTCAACCCTGCTCAGGCGACTTACGTGATGAGAGAAATCCAGGAGGGCGTATGTGGCAACCATTCGGGTGGCAGGTCCTTAGCCCAAAAAATACTTCGCACTGGTTATTTATGGCCCACTCTCAATCAAGATGCGACAGACTTCGTGCTCAAATGTGATAAGTGCCAACGCTTTGCCAACATCCTCCATGCTCCTCCTACAAAATTGATCACACTCTGCAGTCTCTACCCATTCGCCAAATAGAAAATCGACCTGGTCGGCCCATTGCCCACTGGCCGAGGCCAAACCAAATTCACCATTGTCGCCATCGATTACTTCACTAAATGGGTGGAAGCAGAACCCCTTGCCACAATTACCGAGCGGAACATAACCAGATTCATCTGGCAGTCGATCGTCTGCAGATTTGGCATTCCTCAAGCCATCGTCTTCGACAACGGTAAACAATTTGACAATGCCAAGTTCAAGAAATTTTGCGCAGAGCTCCAAATCCAGCCGTGCTTCTCCTCTCCAGGCCATCCCCAAGCCAATGGCCAAGTAGAGGTCACCAACCGTTCTCTTCTGAAGATCATCAAAACTAAACTGGAAGCTGCTAAGGGACTCTGGGCTGAGAAATTACCGAAAGTACTTTGGGCCTACCGCACTACTGCCCGAACTCCTACTGGGGAGACCCCCTTTTGCTTAACATATGGCGCTGAGGCAATCATCCTAGTGGAAATCGGTCTGTCCACCCCAAGGGTTCTACATCCAGATCCAGAACTAACTGAAGAGCTGCGTCGGGCAGACCTAGATCTGATCGAAAAACTCTGAGAAACCACCGCTGTCAGACGGGTCTTCTACCAACAGAAAATGAGAACACACTACAACCGCAAGGTCAGACCGAGGAAATTCGCCGTGGGGGACCTTGTTTTGCGAGAAGTAACCCTTGCCACCAAAAATCTGACTGAGGGTAAACTGGCAGCCAAGTGGGAGGGGCCTTACGTTGTGAAAGCTAGACCACGTCCGGGCACTTACCAACTTCAGGACATGGAAGGTCGAGACCTCCCCAATCCTTGGCACGCTGAGCATTTGAAGCGCTATTTTCAATAAAAGTTGTACTTTTATATTGTCCAATTGCTGTATGTTCTTTTTGACAATCTGCACACTTGAATGTTCTCATTTTCTCCTTATATGGTGTAAATTTATGTTCCAATGGGCTACATTTTGTATGACAGCAAGCTTGTGTCTCAGTTATCTGTGGTATTCCAATAACGCTTTGATTACAGCCTCAGCCAGACTGAGCAACAAAAAGCCTCAGCCAGACTGAGCATGACAAGCCTTAGCGAGACTGAGCATAACAAGCCTCAGCCAGACTGAGCATGACAAGCCTCAGCCAGACCGAGCATAAAAACCGAGCATGCAAAGCCTCAGCCAGACTGAGCACGACAAGCCTCGGCCAGACCGAGCATACAAAGCCTCAGCCAGACTAAGCAACAAAAAGCCTCCGCCAGACTGAGCATAAAAGCCTCGGCCAGACCGAGCATGCAAAACCTTAGCTAGACTGAGCACGACAAGCCTCGGCCAGATCGAGCATACAAAGCCTCAGCCAGACTGAGCAACAAAAAGCCTCCGCCAGACTGAGCATAAAAGCCTCGGCCAGACCGAGCATGCAAAGCCTCAGCCAGACTGAGCACAACAAGCCTTAGCCAGACCGAGCATGCAAAGCCTCGGCCAGACTGAGCATAACAAGCCTCAGCCAGACTGAGCATAACAAGCCTCAGCCAAACTGAGCCCGAAGAGCTCGGCCAGACTGAGTTACTTGAAGCTACTGAATTCCTTGAAGGGTCAGTTAATCATAGTTTCTCCCAAACTGAGCACGGATGTAGAGCTCGGTCAAGGCTAGTCATGCAAACTTCACGGTTATGGCATACTGGCCACACTTAGTCAAAATTCCAAGTCTATGTTTTTATAACATTCTTTTCTTAGTCAAATTCCAAACTAATATTTCATTTATCAACACCCTTACACCGTCATTTAAAAACTTCACTCTTGGGGACCCTTACAAGCCAGACTGACTCCACTTTGGGTCATGATTTGAAACTTTCAATTTTTAACATTCTTACAAGCTGAACTTCATTTTTAACATTCTTCAGGTTGCCTTACATTTTAAACTTCACTTTACATTGAGTTTTTCTCACATTTTGCACTTCACAATGATTTATACACAAGCCTTATACAAGTCACCATTCTCATTCATTTCAGATGCACAAACAAAAGCAATAGCATGAAAACAAAACTCAAAATTTTATTTATTCACAAACTTGTACATAAGTTCATTACAGTCATTCAAAAAAAAAACAAACTCTAAGTACAAATTTTGTCCACTTCCATCATTCCTCCTCACTTGACACAAGGTCTTCTTCTTCAACGCCCTCGTCTAGGGGGGTCTGGGCCACGTCATCATCGTCAATCTTGACACCGCTCAAGTCTAAGTCTGGGAACAGCTCTTCCGCTTTACGCTTGAACATCTTCCACCCGCTGTCCCAGAACTCAGCCATTTCGTGTTTGTAGAAGTCCGACCGCTGGAAGCTCTAGATCACTTCTGCTTCACTTCTGCCCCCAGCGGTCGCTCTCGACAGGCCAGCCCCCCCAGCCTCCTCTCTCGCCAAGTTGCTGACGACCGCGGCATCTATCGCCATCTGGAAATCAGCAGACCCCTTGAACTGCTCCACTACTGCGACGTACAGGTCGGGGTATGCTGCCCTTTCAGAGGCTGCCTTAGTTCTTTCTTCCTCCACTTGCCTCTCCGTCCTGTATTGCTCCGCCAACTCCACCGCATCGTCGTCCCCTAGTGGATCCACCCTTGCAGTTCTAGCTTCTTCCTGGGCCATTTCTGTCATGTGTCTGCGAATGGTTTCGAATGCGGGTGCAAGAAAATTCAAAAAGTGTTGTAGAGGTGTATCGCTAGCAACGAAGGAGTTTACACTTGGAATGTTTTGATTTTTTACAAAAATGTAGGTAAAGCGGATAATACCGAAGGCCCACGGCTTTCCTGTATTCTAAGGGTCACAATTAATTCTTGCGAGTTTGAAAATTTTCAAAATTCCACCACAACTGTCTTTTCAACACCCTATAATGACCTATCGTTTCGCCTATCGCCCAACGCCTAACCTCCCCCACTACAAGATTCTGCCACGTGTACGGCCACGATCCACTGCCTCTTTCTCCTTCCCTGTCTATTCCACTTCACTTTAGCACGTGCCTCACCGCCTCTCGAGCCCCGCGCCACACCACTTGGCCACCCTTCACAGTCGACCTTCCGCAGGGTTTGTCCCTCCACTCGGTCACCCTTCGAGGTCGGCCTTCCGCACGGTCAGGCCCTCCACTCAGCCACCCTTCGCGGTCGGCCTTCGGCACGGTCGGTCCCTCCACTCGGCCACCCTTCGCGTTCGGCCCTCCTCACCGTCGATCACCCCACTCGGTCGGCCTTCACCCTGCCGGTCTTTCACAGCCCTTATTCTCTTCAATATTTCCTTCATTGGACTAAAGCTGCACTCGGGAATGGGGGACTACTGACATGGGTAAGCCCATAAAGATTAGAGCCCACCATTTAGGGCCCAACACATATCTCAAATACTGAAGCCCAGCATTGTCGAAGCCCCATGTAGCAATTAGAACCAATGACATCAAGACACATGGCGAGAAAAGGGCAAGCCACATTAGCAAATAAAGATCTGCAAAGTTATTGCCACCGCACATCGCCATTAATGAGGCCCCCTTACAGCATTTATTGGGATAACCCCTCTCCGTCGGGACAACACGCCCTCATCCTGAACAAGGTAAGTTACAGCATAGACTTTCGGCTAAGGTGACAGGTCGGAAAAGACAATGTAATGATTACCAAAGGATATAAGCAGACGTCGAAGACATGTAGAAAGTTAAGCTTTTCTATCTCTATTCGATCTCTACACTTCACTTCTCTCTCTAACTTGCTCGTCAGAGGATTCGCTGAGGGACTCCCCGTTCCCCGTTGAACTCTTGTGCAGGTCTTCAGATGGGCTTGGTCATTCGGATATAGGCTTAAGGAGCGTGGATCAGTCCGACCCGTTCTACCATCACAAACTGTATCATCACATATTTTGATGATTTTATAAAAATTAATTGGTAAATTTTGTCGTGCAAGGTTGGAGAGGGATGCTATCTATCATGGGTGAATCTTATCGAATTTTCCTCTCATACGTGAATTCATACAATAAATTTCAATATATATATATATAATATTATGAATCTTGTAGTGCAATATTTGTTGCATATATTCATATGAAATGTGAAAAAGTATATAAAATAATACATAAAATTCATTCAATTGACAAATATCATTTTTTCTTTTTATGAAATAATTTATATAAGTTTTTGAAGCTTTTACTTGGAAGGCCAATAAATTTTCGACCATAACATAAAATACCAACAAAATGACAATAAATAAATAAATAAATTTGGTCCAAGACTTGGGATTTTTACATTGAAATAGTTTCCAATTTTGAACTGAAGCAATTTACACCAATAAACAAAGAAACTCTACTCTCTCTCTCTCTCTGCATATATATACGTATTGTATATTGGGGTGCATACAGTTCACTCTCTCTTAATTCGATAATCTGAAACGTTAGTTCATTTTGTAAGACACTTAGTATGTATCATCCTTTAAAAAAAATTAAATCAATTTAATAATTATAATGTTTTTATTTTACTACATTTCTTTTTGAAAAAATAGACAAAACGATCCATTGTTTTGGAAATAAATAAATAAAATAAAAATACTATAGTTATTAAATTACTTGATGGGTTCCGGCGATGTTGTGATGGGTTCCGGCGAGAAGACAGTGGGAAGATGGTATTGCTGTAGTTGTGGAAGAGACGGTGCTAAGAGTAGAGCGAGTAGTAGGCCCAACAACGAATGCAAACAACATCACAAATGCGCACAACAAAAACAGTGTGATACTTGTCCGACGAAGGAGGGGCTTCGCAGCACTCCGAGGAAGACACATGTCGTTGATTTCACCGATGTCGGAGTAAAGCGAGTTTACACCTCAACCTGTTGCAGCATTATTGATGAAAGGCTTCCTCGTTGTTGTTCGGCCTTTTAGGCCGTGTTTGGCAAGTTTGGTTTGGAGATATTTTAGTTAAAAATTATAAAAAGATCAAATAAGTTGGAATAGTTAATAATGAAAATATCACATCAAATTTATAATTATTTTATTTTTTTTCTCATAAATATTATATCTAACTATAAAAAATTTAATTATCTTCTTAAATATAAAAATTTTAACCTATTAAAATGATTTAATAAGTTAAAATTAAAATAATTTAAGAAGTTGAAAGAATTACACTTTTAGTTTATACTTTTTGATTAGTATAGATTGGATTGGACAAAAATTCCGGGGGGGTACCAAGCAATTTTCAAGCACCTACAATACAATGCAATAAAATTTGTCTACAGAAGTTGTATACAAAATGATTTGGCCTTTTCCTGGCTCATTAATTGTCAATTGAGAACGACTGACAGCCAGTAGTATCGTTTAGAAATATGTTATTTTAATAATTTTTAAATTTTTTTAATAATATATGATTTAAAAAAATTAATATATTTAAGATAATTTTTTAATTTTTTTTTAAAAAATTATATAATAAAATATTGTAATAAATAACAAAATTACCCAATTATCCTTCCTCACACACGCAGGCGGAAGAGAGTACTTTTTCCATGCATTTCATTATGTTTTCTTTATGGGAATCCGTGGCGAAGAACCCCACCTGAACTGCATTGCAATGCAGCACTGAGCTGCATTAAGGGCTCTTTTGGGAACAATTTTTTTAGCTTTTTTAGCAAAAAAAAGTTAACTTTTTTACCCAAAACAATCTAACTTTTTGTCAAAAAAGCCACTAAAAAAGTTTAAAAAAGCCAAAAAGTCAACTTTTTACCAACTTCCCAAAACACCCCTAAGTGTGTTTGGTTTAAATTTTTTGAATTAAGTTTTTTGAAAATTAAATTTTTGTATTTTTGTATTTTTTTTGTTTTAGTGAATATTTTTAAAATTTTAAATATTTTTTTTTACTTTTTAGATGCACCTTACTTAGATGTATCTAAAAAATAAAAAATTTGTGAAAAAATATTTTAAAAAATTAATAAATGTATAAAAATATAAAAAATGTACTGAATTATTGTATTTTTTGTATTTTGGGCATTTAGTGAATTTTTAAAAGGTTTTCTTAATAAATTTTTTACTTTTTAGATACATCTAAGTTAGGTATGCCTAAAAATTAAAAAAATTGCTTAAAATATTAAAAAAAATCAATAAAAACAAAAAAATACGAAAAATAAGAAAGTAAAATTTTTTGAAAAGTGAAATCAAGCATAGTGATTATTATTGTTATTTTGTGGACCCCATTGTGCTGCACGGTGTAAGACAAAGTTTTGAATATTAGGCCTCCTTGGTAGGGTTTATAAGCATTTTTAACTTAATTTAAATTAAAATATTATGTTTGGTACATTTTAAGAGGTTGTTTGAAATGATCTAAATAAGTGTACTTTTTAATTTTTTATAAAATATGAGTTGAGTTTGGATTGTGTTTGAAGTGATGTGTTAGAAAGGTGATGTGACTTAAGATGATGTCACTTAAATAGGATAATGACTTTTTAACTTTTTGATTTTTTCTAAACATGCCAAACTAACCCTAAGTTAACCAGCTTATAACTTAAATCAAGTTATTTCTCAGCTCATCTCAAAAACTGGTCAGGGGTGCTTCAATTTTTGACTTAAGTACGCAGTTAGTGCAGGAGGCCAAAATTACTTAAATGCCCCTCATCAATACCCAAATATTAATATTAATTAAAAAAGAAAAAATCAATATTAATTAAAAAATAAATATTAATTGGTATTAATTATTAATAAATTCATATTGTATATTTTTAGTATTAATTGATACTAATTAAGCAATTAATTGATATTAATTAATTTATAATGGAAAAAAATTGTAACAATAATACTTCCATTACATTTTTATCAAATGTATCAATTTTTATATTAATTGATACTAATTATATTAACTTTTATTAATGAAATAATTTTTTTTAAATTAAAACTGAAAAAAATGATAAAATAATCATTTTTATATCATATAAGGGCAGAAATGACAATTATACGGTAAAAAGTTATTTTACAGCTTATTAACCAAACATTACTCTACTACTTAAATCTATAATCCCACAATTGCACTAAATTGGTTAACAGCTTATGTTCACAGTTATAAGTTATAATTTGTTAAGTTATAATTTATAATCACTTTTGTACAGTTCTACTAGACGGGACCATTGTTGTTGAATTTAACAAGAGTATAATTGTTGCAGCACAATCCTGCTACTGCAATTTGTAAAAACAAATACAAAAATATAAAAAGAAAAACAAAACAAAATAAACAAAAATATAAAACAGCTGTAATTTTGTTAAAAAAACGATTGATGTGCTATTGTTGGCCAATAAATGTTTATTTTTTTGAGTTTGACTATGGTAATTATTTTTTTTATAAATAATGATCATTTATCCCTTGCATATATCCCTTGCAATTTCATTAATGTTTTCAATAAGGCATATTTTCTTAGTCAATATATTTTTCTTCTCCTCTTTTTCATATATGCTAGAAGACGAGACTTTATGCTACTAATAGCCTATCTGGCACATGAAATATACACATACTTCATTCATATTATTTTTGATAATACGTGTCACAATAATATAATAAGTTTATAAATTATTTCAATAACATTACTAATGATAGTGAAACAAAATTGCCAAATTTACAGCAAAAAAATTAAACTTTTAATTTCAGAAGTCATTTCTTTAATTCTTTTTAATAAATCATAATTTTTTAAAAATGCAATACTCGTGTTAAAAAATTCACGTGTTTACCAATATATCATAATATTATTGGTCTAATTTATTTGAAATACACATGTGAAGATTATTATACTCTCTATGTTAGGCAAATTGGACCAAATGTCATACACTCTCCTAAAAATGGATTTATCAACAATTTTTTTTTTCTAAAAACATTGTACATTTTGAATAAAAATATTTATAAAAAATAATGTACAATTTTTTAATTAACATGTGTTCTAAAAACATATGTTAGTAAGCCTATTTTTTTAACGCCTTAACCATTTCTAAAGCATTCTTTTTAATATAAATCTTAACATTATATAATACTCCCACAAGACAAATGTTCATAAATATTTAGGCTAAGTTTGGCATCCTCAAAAAAATTCAAAAAATCAAAAAGTCACTATCCTATTTAAGTCACATCATCTTATTTAAGTCACATCACCTCTCTATCACACCATTTCAAACCCAACCCATATTTCATAAAAAGTCAAAAAGTGCACCTATTTAGGACACCCCAAACAACCCCTTAATAGTATTCCTCTCATGTCAATACAGTAAAACTACAGTAATGATACACAAGCAAAAAATTCATAAAAAATATTGGGAAATTTAAAAAAAAAAAAAGAAAAGAAAGTTGGACTTTTGTAATGAAATAAATCTTAAGTTTTTAATTTTATCAATTTAAACTATGAAATTTTGATTTGTTTTCAATTTGAATTATTTGTCTATTTTTGTTAATTAAAATTGACAAAAAATAAGTATTTTAATCATTAAGCTTAATCAAAATAAGTATTTTAGACACTTTATGTATGCCTATATTGAGTTTAATGACTAAAATACTTTTTTTTTTATATCAATTTTAGTTAACAAAAATAGACAAATGATTTAGATTGAAAATAAATGAAAACATCAAGATTTAAATTGACAAAATAAAAAATTCAGGGTTTATATTGTTATTAAGGTTAAACTTTGTAATTTTTTTGTAATTATCCTAAAAATATTTATACATAATGATGTAACTTAATATGATTTTTTTTTTTTTAATCTTAATACAAAACATGTATATAGATAAATTTATTTACAAAAATAATATATCATCACATTATTCTTGTACAAATTTTTAAAATTTTTATGTATGAATCGAATTTTTTTTTTTTTTTTTTTTTTTTGTAAAACTATAGGATAATCTCATTGCATCCAGTAAATTTTCATGGTTGATGATGCAATTAATTGAGTTAACCGAAAAAAAAGGAAAAAACCGTAACGAAATTAATGTATCCTCTCCCGCGTTTGACCAAATACCCAAAACTTGCATTATTTTTCGTGAAGCATTTACTGCCAATTACTAATATTGAGGCATAACTGGCGTCCTCTCTGTGGTTCTTACTTGACTTCTTACGTTTTAGGTTATTGACGCCTCGTTTGGGAACAGGTTAATTTAGTAATTTTTTGGCTATTTGGTTAAAAAAGTAGGTAAAAAAAACTTGTATGTTTGGGATGATTTTTTGGCTAATTACGAAAAGATGTGCAAAAAGTAGAGAGAAAAGAGAATCTTTGACTTTTTGGTATGGGTTGTTGGCTTTTTGGCTAATTTAGTAACTTTTTGGCTAATTGGCTAAAATAGCCTCTTGCCAAACGAGGCCTGAGTGTACTTTTAGATTTAATTTTAATAATTTGAACCGTTTATATTTTAAGATTTATTGAGTATATCATACTGGTAAAAAATCAAATTGATCGAATATCAAAAAGTATGTGTTCGGAAAACTGTTTATTAAATTTTTTTAAAAAACTAGTTTTTAATTAGTTTTTCGAACACATGTTTTTTAATATCCGATTAGTTTGATTTTTTACAGGTATAATATACTCAATAAATCTTAAAATATGAACGGTTCGGATTATCGAAGTTGGGCCTAAAAGTAGGCCCAATAACCCAATAAGTAGGAAGTCAAGTAAGTACCTCAAGGAGAGAATCCTGATTCAACTAGCGTACCAATATTATGACAATTTAAATATGAATAATGTTATGTGTATTAATTGATATATTATATAATATAATTTTAGATATTTGTAGTTGAATAATGTTATATGCATCAATTAATGTATTAATTAGTGTGCTAATTGATGATGTGACATAATTTAAGAGGTTTTTGTTATTTGTAATGTAATTAATGAGTGGTGTCAATAATAAAGTCATAACTAGTGTTAGTACGGGAGCGGGGTCAC